CAGCGGCAGCAGCGGCAGCAGCAGCAGCGGCGGCAGCAGCACGAACAGCTCCGGCTCCAATCCTAGCGAGCCCGCTCAAGGCAAAGACAAGGAAGCCAGCAGCAGCAGCAGCAGCAGCAGCAGCATTGTTGCGTTCAAGGGCGAGGATTTCTACGACCAAGTAGGCGGCTTTTGCTGCTGCTGCAGTTCTTGCTGCTGCCTTGCTGCTGCTGACTCTCGAGCAGCCATTTGGTTGGCTGATGTTGCTGCTGCCCGTAGATTTGCTGCTGCTGCTGCTCCTGCCTACCAGTAGATTTGCTGCTGATGCTGCTGCTGCCGCTAACAAATCTGTTGCTGCTGCCGTTGCTGCTGCTGCTGCTGCTGCTGCAGCCGTCGGAAGCAGACGCAGTGCGGTCGCTGCTGGCGATGATGAGCTTCAACTTGGCGCAGCAGTCTTTCCTGCATGCTGTGCTGCACGGCCTCAACAAGTTCGTCTTGCTGCTGCTGCTGCTGCTGCTGGCTTTGCTGCTGCTGCTGCTGGCTCTGCTGCTGCTGCTGCTGTTGGTTTTGCTGCGGCTGCTGGATATACTGCAGTCTTTCCTGCGTGCTGTGCTGCACGCCCTGAACAAGTCTGTCCTGCTGCTGCTGCTGATTTTGCTGCTGCTGCTGCTGCTGCCGCTCGTTTTGCCGCCGCTGCTGGATATGCTGCTGCTGCTGGATATGCTGCCACTTGTGGATATGCTGCTGTTGCCACTAGATATGCTGCTGCTGCTGCTGGATTTGCTGCTGCTGCTGCTTCCTTTTCGCTCCCACTCCAGCTCCTCGAGTGTCAGCCTCAGGGTTTAGGGTTTAGGGTTTAGGGTTTGCTGCAGGATCGTGATGGTGGGGTTTCTGGAGGCCCCTTGCTTCTTGGCTTCGCTGCAGCACTTTGTGAACTTTTGGTCCAGCAACTCTTGCACAATAATGTTCTGTCGGTGAGAATTAAATTAATTATTTATTTATTTTATTTATTTTATTTATTTATTTATTTATTTGTTTTGCTGCTGCTGCTGCGGCCTCCAGGCTATCGTGCTTCATGGGGGCCCTCGGCGCCGCCCTCCACTCCGGCAGCTTCCTCTGCAGCAA